TAGGGGGTGCATGAGAGGCAACCACACATTGTTGTTTCTCTCCCTCTCTTTTTCCTTTCTTTCCCCCTCTAAAAATAAATAAATAAAAACCTTAAAAAAGAGAAAAAAATTTAAAAAGAGAACTGTTCTAGATTAAAGGAGACTGAAGAGACATGATAACCAAAGGTAGTATGTCATCCATGATTCAAACCTGCATTTGGAGGATCAAACAGTTAAGGACAAACTATTGGGACAATTGGAGACTATGCATTAGATAATATTATTGTATCATTGTTTAATTGCTTAAGCATGATAATGATATTGTTCTGTAGGAGAATGTCTTTGTTCTTCTAAATATGTATTTGAGTTTTTAGGAGCAAAGTGTCATGATGTCTGAAATTTACTTTTTTTTCTTTTTCAAATTATAAGGGAAAGTTTATTAAGAAATTTACAGATGTAGTAGAAGTGAGCCACTTGGGCTGCATAGGCTAAAGAAACAAGTTACAGAGGCAAGAAGAAAGGGCCCTTGGCGGGGCTGTTGGAGCTTAGGGTGGGGGGGAGGCAAAGGTAACACGTCTCAGGGAAGAAGAGGGGAAGGGAAAAGTGATGGCATGCTCCTGAGAGGGAGAGTGCATCGAAACTTACTTTTATTTTTCTATTTATTTGACCAAAAATAAAGTTTTTATTTCTGGGAGTTAGAATTACATCTTTATTTTTTTCTTTATTCTTTATCATATTTTCCAAATAAGTGAAACTTCTAAATAGTTCAGTAAAAAATAAAATACATGTGTATGTATGCAGTAGTGTCCCTTTATCTGCAGTTTTGTTTTCTGCAGTTTCAGGTACCCATGGTCACCTATATTTCAAAAATGTTAAATGGAAAGTTCCAGAAATAAACAATTCATAAGTTTTAAATTGCATGCTGTTCTGAGTAGTGTGATGAAATCTAGCACTGCCCCCCTCTCTCCCACCTGAGATGTGAATCAACCCTTTGTGCAGTATGTCCACACTGTTTATGCTTCCTGTCTATTAGTCAGTTAGTAGCCATCTAAGTTATCAGATTGACTGTCACAGTATCACAGTGCGTATGTTCAAGTCACCCTTACATTAGCCTAACGCTCTGGCACAATGCCTGCATCTTTCACCTCACTTCATCTCCTCACATAGGCATTGTATCGTCTCACATCATCACAAGAAAAGAGTGAGTAGGATACAATGAGGTATTTTCAAGATAGACCACATTCACATAACTTTTATTACAGTATATTATTAAAATTGTTCTATTTTATTAATTATTGTTAAACTCTTACTACTGTGCCTAACTTATGAATTATATATCATGTATGTATGGGAAAAAAGTGTGTGTGTGTGTGTGTGTGTGTGTGTGTGTGTGTGTGTGGTTTGGTACTGGTTTTAGGCATTCACTAGGGGTCTTGGAACATATCCCCTGCAAATAAGGGGGGACTATTTTATAGAGATAAGCAAACGTCACAAAATGATAGCTAATATTGATAGCTTTTGAACTAAAGAATGTAAGAATATACTGTACTATTCTTTCAACTTTTTGTTAGATTCAATTTTTTCAAAATAATAATTGAGGGAGACAAAAGGGAAAAGGGCCTTTGGATTCTTGGTACATTGTTAATTGGTCTTATGGTCACAGGTTTATGTTTTTCCTCTAGGAGGGACAACTCCCTCCAAAAGGAGTTCTCTCAAGACCCTAAGAAGAAACAACAGAACTATCAGGAAGGATTTTTGGCAGGTATAGGATATGATGTGATCTGCTTAAGAGGGTAGGGCTTTTGTTGAGGAGGATAGTCTTGGAATGGCTGGGCCTATAAGGCATAAGGATTGGCTTTAGGGGGCCTCATAATGCTTCTTTCTCCAGGTTTAGAAGGCAAGGGCACTACTTAGCATTGCTAATTATGCAAGGGTTGTGCCCTTTAGGCTGGTGCTGTAGGCTCTGTCCAGAAGAAACTCTTCTAGGAATATGGGACAGAGGGTTTCTTGAGCCAAACACAGATTACCTTTAGAAGGTGCAAGCGCCAGAAGATGGGGGCCCTGTGATATTGAGAAGGCTGGTTTGATTTATCTGGCTAACCTTCTTGACTATATTTATAGTATTCTGATTCTTAATCATCGTAATATGTATAATAATAATTATCTTGTCTATTAAGAGTATGTATTATATATCAGGTACAGAATCTCCATCTAATTATTATTCTCTGCAAGGAAGTTTTGTTTTGTTAATCCATGAACAAATTGAAGCCCAAAAAGCTTAGGTGACCTTGTATCACACAGCTAGTTAAGTGGCTAGTAAGCCAGAATTTGAAAGTATGTTTGGGTCAAAAATCCTAGCAAGGCAAGTCAGTGGTTTTACCCATGTCAGTACAAACTGGTGACTATTTCTTTGAAAAGTCTACTGTTGAAGGAGTCTTATGTAGGGAGTGCCACTTTTCCTTCCAAATCTCTCGTGCCTTTGAGGAAATTATGACCTCTGCCTGGCCTGAATTTGAGTGGTATCTGGATTATCAGGTGCTCTGATAGGCAACACCAATTTGTCAGTGGTTTGACTGTGGAAAGGTAAGTACCTGAGAGGTGCTGTGGTGCAAGGTGGTGGGGTGTGGATAAACCTAGAGGCAGAGTTGGGGCAAGGGTATTCTTATATTCTCCTTGATATGCATATTATGGTAACACTATCCATTAAATGAAGATGAAAATCACTTATAACCGTGAGACACAGAGATAATATTAACATCTTGCAGGATCTCTTTCTAAACCTCTTTCTATGCATATAAATAGGGACAGACATATAAAATATGTAACAAAATGGGCTCTTTCCATACATTATCTCCTTTTTCACTTGATGGTATCTCGTGCATATCTTTCAAGAGCAAAAAGTACGGACCTTATAATAATTATCATACAGACTTTAAATTAGGGGTATACAATAACTTAATCCTCTGTTGTTAGATATTTAGCTTGTTTTCAAGACCTCACATGCTTTTGGAAGTGTCCACTTCTGCACAGAGGAAATTCTAGTATCATAAAGTGTTAGTGCTTGCTAAAAAGGCTTTAGCAAAAATGGTAGTGAAACCAGCAAACTTCCAGGACAAAAATCAACTCTCAGTGCTTCCCTGTTTCCCTGTAGGCAGTGGAGGAAAAAAACACTGGAAAACTACAAGGAGTTATCCTGAATTGTTACTCCCTTGATCGAAGGGGAGTTGTTGGCCCACAAATATCTTCAGAGTTCCCACTGAGTGCCTATGCTGTGCAGATTCTAACATAGAAGAACTTGACACCATGGCCCTTATAGTCAGCACCATGTTTGCTGAGATGTGATTAATTCTCACAAAGTAAAATGACTGATGTAAAACCATATATATTATATGGTTAAGCTGTTTTGATCTAGCTATGCCATCAAAACCTGAGGAGAGGAAATCCTACAAGGGGTGTGGTAGTCAGAAAGTTTTAAGGAAGAGACAGCACTTGAAAATGAGTAGAAAATGAACAGCACTGGAAGTGAGAGAGATGGCTTGAGTAAAGGATAGAAGCAGAAGTAAGCATGATTTGTCTATATTGTGATGAAGCAATTTTTTAGAAAGATTAAAACTGGCAGGGGTATCCAGAATAGACTGGAAGAGAAAGTCCTATTCAGAAAAGTAAGCCAAGATGAGTAAAGTAACTCAGAGGAAAGATGATGTGGTTAGTTTCCCAGCAGTGAAATTGAGCAGGGAGGTCAGGAAGGGGGCAAAAAGATAGAAAGCAGAAACAATTCAAAGGCAAAACATCTCTAGGACTTAGTAGATAAAGAAAATAGGTAAGTCATAGTTGACTCCAACTTTTTAGGACTGAGTGATAACTGACTGATGTTTCTCTTTCTTTTTTCCTCCCTTCCCCTCTCTCTAAAAATAATAAATAAAATATCTTAAAAAAAAAAAAAGACCAAGTGATCGAAGAATGCCAGTACTGTTAACAGAGATGGGAAAGTGGAGAGAGAAAGCTAGATTTGAAGGAGGGGGCTGAAAATATGTTGGATCTGAGGAGATGATGGGACAGAGAAGGGGACAATTCAGTAGGCAAGTAGGTGATTATAAGGCTTAGCTTAGATGAGATGAAAGCAGCTAGAGACATGTACACAGTCCACACTGTCATTATAGATATGATAGCTGAAATCCTGGTAATAAGGCCCTGAGAGGGTCTGTAACAATGCTCAAACTGTAACCTACCTACAGTTTCACCTGGGGACCTTGTTAACATGGAGATGTGATTTTTGGCTTCCTCCCATGCTGTGCTGGTGCTGGTGGTTCAAGGGAATAGTAGGAATGTAATAAGAGCAGGGAGCCAGTGTATGTGGTTTGGAGTTAGTAGTTGGGAGGAAAACAGAAGAGCCAAGGAAGAAAAAGAAATGATTCAAAGAGTCATGTACCTTGTCTTTTCCAGGCCCTTTGGAGAATACCTATCGTGATTTCTGGCTCATGGTATGGGAGCAAAAAGTTTTGGTGATTGTCATGACCACTCGGTGAGTTCATACCTTTTCTTTCCACCTCTCTCTGCCCCTACCCTAACGAGTATAAGTGATTCAAAAGAGGAATTTATCTCTTAGAAACAATGAGAATTACAAAAGCCATGGCCTTGAGTTTGAGATGTTGGGTTCTTTGGCTTACCCAAAGATAATACAGGGTGTGGTATAGTTTGATAGATCTAACTTCTCAAAGCTTTAATCCGTGGCTCTGGTGACCCTGTGCCAGTCGCAGCCTATTCTGAGGTCCTTGCCTTATCCGCTGAAGGAAGTATTGTGAAACAGGGGGCAATTCACGTTTCATCTGATCCATGCTTCCAAAGGGCAGCTGTCTTCCTGGCTTCTGAATTACCAGTTCCCCTTTGCTCTCCCTTTCCCTGCTACCTTGACCATTTTCTGCTTATTTAGGCTGGAAGCTCTTGATGAAAAGAATATTATTGAAATTTTGGTCCACATATCTGCCAAAACTTCAGGAATTACTATTTCATTAGTATTACCATTACCACTATTTCAGATGAGAACAAAATTTAATTACAGTGTTAGCTCATTTCCCTTTTTCATGGCACTGTTACAACAGCCTTTGATTTGGAGAGGAGGTCATGGAAAAAGCATCACCTTGGAGTACTTTGGAGCCACTGAAGTGCAGTGGAGGTAGACTTCAGGCCTTTACAAAAACTTCCTGCTGGCATCCTGGGTGCTGTGCCTTTCTTATTCTTCTATCATCCAAGGGCCCCTCATTGGGGAAGAAAATGAACAGTGGCTGAGATACAAGGCAGACAGTTCCATCTGGCCCACCACATTTTCTCTACTGTCTTTCTTTGCCCACTCAGTATTTATCCCAGATATGTGAAGAGTGCCAAGAGGTATGAGGGAAGGGGCCAAATGATATGGTAGGTACTCAGTAAATGTCTGCTAAATGAGTACATGCAGAAACTTGCACTGTTATATCCATTTAGAATGAAGGTTTTCTTCCTTTACTGCCACAAGGCAAGGGTATAAGTTAGAAGCAGTGCAAGAGATGGCACTTCTGCCTGGGGTATAGCAGGTGCTGACTAGGTCACGGTTAATGCTCTGCAGAGGAAGGATGGAAGGCTTACTTTGTTCTGTGTGTCTTCAGCTTTGAGGAGGGCGGCAGGAGAAAGTGTGGCCAGTACTGGCCTTTAGAAAAAGACTCTCGGATCCGATTTGGCTTCCTCACAGTGACCAACCTAGGCGTGGAGAACATGAGCCATTATAAGAAAACAACGCTAGAAATTCATAACACAGAGGTAAATCTGGGTTTCTGTTTTCTCACTTTTTTGAAGTTAAGGGAGAACTTTTACTGTAAAGAAAGTCTCTGAAAGGAATAGGCAAGATTCCAGGGGGCTTATAAGTTACTTCCATTTTTCTGGGAATAAGATCAGGATATTCATTTCAGAGCCAATATAACTACATTGTCTTAACCCAACAGGGGCATTACTTAGGGATGAAACTTAGAAGAAATCTGGATCCTACAAATAGGAACTCTGTCCCTTCCAAATATTAAACCTTTCCTTTGGGTTTGTAAAGAAGCAGTTGTGGAGAAAGTTGAGGGTGGTAGGCAGGAATCTTGGTGGTAGGGATCCCAGGGCATCGAGAACCGGAAAAACCAAAGGTAGTCAGGGCAAACATAAGTGACCTCACTAACTTCTGCTTCTTTTTCTATCCAAGGAGCGGCAGAAACGCCAGGTGACTCACTTTCAGTTCCTGAGCTGGCCAGATTATGGTGTCCCCTCTTCAGCAGGTTCCCTCATTGACTTTTTGAGAGCGGTCAGGAGCCAGCAGAGGCTGGCTGTGAGCAGCATGGCAGCAGATTCCAAAGGGCAGTGCCCTGAGCCACCCATTGTGGTCCACTGCAGTGCAGGCATTGGCAGGACAGGTAATGATGCACCTGATGCAGCTCTCAGAGCCTCTGGAGGCAGTAAGGGAGGGGGAGGAATAACCAAGCTCTTTACTGCCAGATTGAGAGATTTTGGTCCATTGGTGGTGAATTGCTGTTCTTCCTAAGTGTCCTTTTGGTAACCCTAGTGCTGTGTGTCCAGAATATACACTTCACAAGACAAGTCTTCTGGGGTTGATGCTTTATACATCCCATTGGCGTGATCATGTTCTGACCCCATCATTGTCACCTGGGTGTCCAGAGAGCTCAGCTGGGCTGTTGCTTCATTCCCATCCCCCTCCCCTCCTCACTTTCTTCTTTGTTGGAGAAGATGAAGACTTTCTGGATCCACTTTACCCTTAAGGGGATGTGCATTGCAGGGACTGCTGGCATTTCTCATCAGAGATCCTTTTGGGAGAAGGTCAAAAAGAGCATTAGGCGTCTGGGGAGAAGTTGTAGAGTCTGAAAATTAAAGCCCAGATGTGAGAGTGCTGTTCTGTCTGGGATTTTACTTTCCCACCTGTTTTTCCTATTACCTCCATGTGAATTACAAGAGGCCTTCCCATTTCTCTGGTTTCCAACACTCAACTCTGCCCTCCTCCTTGAGTCCTTTCAGGCCTGAGGACCCTTGCCTTTAAATTAAGTCATCCAGTACTGCCTGGGTTATTTAGTAGAAGGATGGGGAGAGGAGAGGTGGACTAGGTATGACTACTTCCTTTTTCCCTTCAGGTACCTTCTGTTCACTGGACATCTGCCTGGCACAGCTGGAAGAGCTTGGTACCCTTAATGTGTTCCAGACAGTATCCCGCATGAGGACCCAGAGAGCCTTCAGCATCCAGACCCCTGAACAGTACTATTTTTGCTACAGGGCAATCCTCGAGTTCGCAGAAAGGGAGGGCATGGTGCCATCCAGCCACAACCTCCTGGCCATGGAGGGTCAGTAACTGTCCCATGAGTCTCCTACCTGCTGGCCAGCCTTCTTCCTTAAACTGTCCCAGACACCGCTGAGTCTGTAGGTTGCCATCATTTACACTGAAGCCATGGACCAACCTCTTTCTTGTGTCTCCTGGTGCACGCAAGGCAGCAAGCCCTTTGGCGAGATAGATATGATGAAATTGTTATTAGAAAGGGCCAGCAACAGTGTGTTCTTCAGTCCTAGCAACTGCCATTGAACTGTGCCTTATTATAACCAAATTGTGGCTATTGATTTTTGCCAGGGGCTCCAAGCAAGGTAAGTGGGAAAGGAAGGTCCCTACCCTCTTTCCCAATACCTTCTTCTGGAGGCCTCTTTCCCATCCCTTCCCTTTGCTAGGATTTGATTGGGAGGTTTGGTGAGTATCCACCTTCCTTCCCAGAAAGCTTGACCAAGTTATATATTCTAGAGAACATCCCGAGTGCCAAGCACGTTTATACCTAGAGCGTGTATTCCAGTCTTTTCTGTTATTCTGTGTGTGCGCGTGTGTGTATGTACACTTATGTGTATGGGTCCATATGTATGTGTGTATATAATATATTACTGTATGTGATAATATGGTCGTATTCTATAAATACATATACACAGAGTTACTCCTTTGTAGAAGTTCCTGGGGCTCCGTGTTGTATTTCAGGTCTTGTGGCTTCTTGTACCCTGCTGTTTATCCTGGACTAGCTGGGTTTGGGGATTATGTCTCCTATTGTCAAATGACAGTGGTGGAAGAGGACACAGGCACATCCACTTTCTATGTTCCTACTACAGGCCTTCATCCTTACATCATGACTTATCTCTCTGCAGGATGCTACCTGTTGGAGCCAAGAATACTGGTTTGTGGTGACACTGGTTTAATTCAGCATTGATTACTCCTAGCTAATGATTATTCTCCATTTACTTCGTTGATTTTGGTAATACACCTCCACTGTGATTTCAGACCCTCTCTTTCCTCTTCCTGTCCCTCAGGGATTGGAGCCTTGGAGTAGAGATGAACTGACTGAGCAGCCAGAGGCAAGAGCAATTGGTACAGTGCCTTAGAAGGAAAGAGAAGGATCCCAAGTATGAGAAAGGAAACTACTATGAGAATCCTTCCCTGGGAGAATGAGCTTGGGGCCCTTTTCTTTTCCCAAAAGGTTCCATTCCTTAGGCAGCTTGGCCCTATCTACTCAGATGCCCATCTTTTTCTGCCTAGTAGCCTGCCAAACCTTGGAGCTCAAGCTGGATGGATTTTGTGTCAATAAAAAGTTTAACTCCTGGCTGGGTGAGGCAGTACCCTGCAGTTTCTATCCCTGCACCCCTCTTTCACTCAACCTGCTCCTGTCTGCTGTCAGCCTACCCAGCCTGATGTACCAGGAATGGAATTGAGTCCCTAGCACTCTATATTCCCAAGAAAATCCAAGGAACCCCTAAACCTTCCCCCATCATAGATGAGGTTGGCAGCTCATCAGACCTCAATAATTTTATACTGTAATAAGCTCTTGAATGTATATGTTCTTATTTTTACAGTCTTTTCATTTTGTATTTAATGTCAATTGACTGAATCAGATTCAGAAAATAATTGTAAATGTTCATTTTCAATATCTCACACCAATAGTTTTGTATTTACATATAAATATACTGACATGATCAAACCCTTTTAGCTTCATCAATTTAGTAGCATTGTGGGGCTGGAAAAGTAAAGAGGGAGTCTAAGAGCTGGTCTGGAAGGGATGTGGACACAGGGAGGGACCCAGGTCTTTAGTACCTGAGACTTTCCGGTTTGAAAGCCGTCTGCCTTGCCTGTAGGCGATGACCTTAGCTCTGGGCAGAAATAGGGAATCAGCACCAGTTGAGTGCTTATGGGGTGCCAATTTCGATGCTTGGTGCTTCCCCCTGCCCATTATCTTATTCAAACCTTACAATACTCCAATGAGAGGTTATTCTCCCTTTACTCTATTTCGATAAAGATGAGAGAGGTAAGGTCCAGAGGGCTATAGTGATTTGCCCTCTAGTGAACTAGAGCTGAAGTTGGTCTGCTTACAAAGCCTTTGGCCTCTTCACTGCATTGCTCTCTCAAAGATCAAGACAGTGTTTTGTCTTTTGAAACTACAGGGATTTTTTTAATAGCTCTCTTTCAGAGTACAAGTGGTTCTTAAAATTCCAGGTAATTGATCTTGAGCTGATGTTGAATGTAGTAGACTAGAAGGGTGACAGAGCTGGTGACTTGATTCTCCTATATAGGACCTCCTTGTGTAGGGTCTTTACGTCAGCAGAGTACCAAAGGGGCCATTCTTCCAGGGACACTCCATTCCTCTGAGTACAGGGGTGTTTGTGGGAGGATCTTAAGTCATTTGCATATCTCTCTTAGAATGGAACCAGAAGCTTTATCCACATAGGACTACTCCCCATGCCATATAGCTATTCCCTGTTGACAGACTGCCTAATTGGGACAATTCTGGCCTGGAGTATGTGCAAATATTGGGGAGTTCTTAATAAAAGTGATAGCAGTTAGCATTTACTGGATGCTTAACTAGCCAAGTACTGTTTAAAATGCTTTCTAAGTATTACTTCATTCACCCTCAAAACAACCTTTTGAGGTAGGTATTGATAGACGAAAAAACAGTGAAGCATAGGAAAATTAATCTGGCACTAAGAACCTGGACCATCTGGTTCCAAAGTACCTGCTGTTAATGTTAACTCTTACACTAGGTTCCCTCTAAGGATTCATCTCCTGATCTGTCAACAAATTTTTCCTGAGTTTCTGACGTAAGAGTTGAAGTGTAGAAAAAATTAAGCCAGTCCTTTCCCCTGAGTTATCCTTTATTCCCTTGGGGCAAGCAGGCAATACTATGATGAACAGAGATACCTGAAATCTGGAAGATCAGAGATGGTAGGGTTTTGGTGAAATGTGTAGGAAACAGGACTAAATTCTAGAGGAGGTAAACTTGAACTGTCATTTATTTGAAGAAGCTGTAACCCACTGCTCTGTAAATTCAGGAGCTATGCATAAGCTTTCTGAACATCTGATGGTTGGCAAGGTTATCATTTGCAAGAGCTCTATAAAGATGCAGGTTCCTGGGTCCTGCCCTATATGTGATTAAATTAGTGACAGAATGCGCCAGGTTTTGGAAGCACTGCCTTTTTCCATGTCTCTGACTTTGAGGAAAATTAGCAAATTGCTGTCTTCCAAATCTGAGAGAAAGGGAACCATTGCCATAGGTTGCCTGTAGCTTTTACCATTGGGAAGATAATTGATACTCAGTGTTAAAGGAGGTAAAGAAAGAGGAAGACATAGAAGCCCCGAATTTGTTCGGGAAGTCAAGGCTTTCACAGGAGATTTGGTGAACAAAGCAAGAAAGAACCCACAATCAAATGCTGGACTGTACAGTTGAGAACATAAGATGAAAATGTGTTCAGGGGAGAGTGCATCATGGGCTAAATCAGGCTTCTATCTCTAATTTGATTGCTGTTTTTCACCCAGCTTACAGTCCCTATACAACTGGTCCCTTCACCTGCCCACCCGTGTCAGCTAGGAGGCCTGCTATTATCAGTCTCCATATCACTGTTTGCAGATAGATGACAGAATTGGACTGGTTCTTGGGAAGCTGGGCTATTTTAGCATTGTAGCTTGAGGAAGATGGTACCCCTGCCCTTAAAGGCTTCTCATCTTTAGGAACAACCAGACACACATATGGAAACTCACAAATCAGATCTGGAGGAAGATGGGCCAGATAGAAAAGTTTTCGTAGAGGGACTGAACTCTTTGGTAATTTTGAGATCTCACCACTCAAGTCCTAGCTTTCTTTTATAAAATAAGGGGCCACATTAGATGATCCTGCTACAGGCCCTCCAAAGTGTGAATGTCTGTAAAGGAACCATCAGGACCTTCTCCAGGTGGGTCAGCTCCCACTTCCCTATATTCCCTACCCACTTGGAAAACAGGTCAAGTATCCCCTGTA